TTTAGCTGTCCAATTAATTTCTTTCCATTTTTTGATAGAGACGGGGTCTCGCTCTTGCTCAGGCTGGTCTCGAACTCCTGAGCTCAGAACGATCCTCCCGCCTCGGCCTCCAAGAGTGCATTTTAATTTTGATAGATATGGTTAAATTGCTTTTCCTTGGGGATTGTGGCAGCTTATTTGGCCGTGCGTGACGTTTATTCGGCCCCACGCCGGGCTCTGCTTGAAGCCTGGACTTGCCATAGGCCTGGTCACTGCTGCGCGAATGACCTAGGCGGCCACACCGTTTCTATACCCATTTTACAGATGAGGATGTGGAGGCAGGGAGGGGCATGCCTTGGAGAAGGTCACAACAGCAGGTCGGTGGGGGTGCTGGGATGTTAACCGGAGAAACGCCAGCCCTGTGACCTTTGTCATTATAACCCAGTGCCTGATGCCCTATGACTCCCCGGGAGGTGAAGTGACTTTGGCCAACATCGCTCCGCCCACCCTGACTTCCGCCCCTGCGCCTGGCGCTGAGCCCAGCGGACGCTGCACATCCCTTCCTGGGACTGAGACCACGTCCCCTCCCCTCCTCACGTCTCAGGGGCCACCATCTCTATCACCTGCAGGCTCAAAGGCCATGGAGAGCCACGGAGTGACCAGGCCTCTCTCCCACCCGGCCTTGCCCTAGAGCAAGGTCTCCCCCTTGGCACCGCTGAAACATTTGGGGCTGGACCGTTCTCTGGGCTGGGGGCGTCCTGGGCACTGCAGGTGCTTTGGAGCGTCCCTGCCTCCACCTACTCCATGCCAGGGGCTCTCCTCACCCGTAGTGACGACCAAATATGTCTCCAGACATCGCCGACTGTCTTATGAGGATAAAACAGCCCGAGTCGAGAGCCACCGGCTGAGTTCCCGCCCTGGTTTTGGGCCGATCCTTTGTGAGATCCCTTGGCCCGCAGAGTCACCAACAGCCTCTCTTCTTCCCTGTGGGGACCTTCCCTGTCCCCTGCCCGCCTACCTTCCCTCTTCCTCCTCGGAGCTTGGCAAATGACCCGCACTCCCCACCCCTGCCATTCCCCCATCCACCGATGGGTACCTGGAAGAGGGTTTCTCTGCGAAAGTTCGAAACCCCTTGAACCAGTAAGTATACCCTCTTCTTGGCTAAAATGTGTTCCCGGCCCACGCAGGAAGCTTGCACGAAGTAGAAGACGTTGCCAATTTTGCTCGTGAACGTTGACGGAAGCTTGGGAGGTAAGTTGAAATGGAAGTCAAAGGTGTGGCTGCCTGCACTTAACCAATTATCTGAAAGCAAAACACACCAGTGCCATCAGAAGGTTCTAGAATCTTTCTTTCTTTTCCTTCATTTTTTTTTTCTCCCTCTATTTATTGCTTTGGTGGGGAGGTGGGTTCTGGGCTGGGCTTGTCGGTCCCCTCTGAGCTGCTCAGGCCCCAGCTGGGCTGGAGAGGGATGCCCCGGGGCGGGTGACAATCTGGAGCCCTCAGGATTGAACAAACACACCTTGAACATCTACCGTGTGCCAGAGACGGTTTTAGGCAGTGTTTATAGGACTGAACAAGGCAGACAAAACTCCCGACTCTCGTGGAGCTTGGTCTTCAGTGCGTGGCATACAGTAGGTGCTTAATATTTGTTGATTGTGTGACCGAGGAGGTCCAGGGAGCACATTCTCACACTGCTCTCATCTCTATGACCTTCCCATTTTATGTTCCTTCTTATATTTCTCCAAAATCCTCTTCCCCAGCAGATGAAAACCCCAAGGACAGCAGGGACCCTGTCCGTGTTATTCATCAGTGCTGTGTCTCCAGCACCAGGCACTGGTGTTTGCATACAGTAGGTGCTCAATAAGTGTTGGTTAAAGAAATGAATGGACTCATTGCAGGCTTCAGGCAAATGCTTTTTTTTTTTGAGACAGGGTGTCCCTCTGTTGCCCCAGGCTGGAGTGCAGTGGCATTATCGTAGGTCACTTCAGCCTTGAATTCCTGGCCTCAAGTGATCCTCCCATCTCGGCCTCCCAAAATACCAGAATTATAGGCGTATGCCACCACGCCCTGCTTTTTAAAAGGAGAGGAAGTTTAATCACTTGGAAAGTGAAAAGGTGGATATCTGATGCTGGGGCTTGGACCGAGAGGGGAGTGTTTTGGTAGTAATTGGAAGAACGGACAATTTTTAAGCACCTACTGTATGCCTGGCACTATTCTTAGCCCTTACATGCCCTTAAATCACCAAGTCCTTACAACAATTGTATGATAGGCCTTCTTCCTATACCCATTTTACAGATGGGTTAAGGGAGACACAGGTGACATCACTGCTAAGCACTGACATCTGACACATTGCCATTTGTCCCAGGATGTCTGCATGGCCAGAGTCCAGCCCATCCCTCAGATCTGTGCTCAGTTGTCGCCGATTTGGAGAGACATTCCCGTACGACCCTATCGAAAATTATAAAAGTCTAAAATTAAACGTTGTTCAGCCAAGTGCCAGCCACGTGTTCTGCTTGACTGCGGGACACCCGGAAACATCCCCACAAACACACTTTGGAAAGGACATCTCGTTCCCTGGCAGCTTGGACTCCCTGATGCCTGCTCAGACTTCAGATCTGAACGGGTGGGGCCTGGGGACTAGTTAGCCTTCCTCAGAAGGTCTCTCGCACGCTTCTGCCCCCATTGTCTTTCCCTGTGACCCCAGGGCTCCTTATTTTATATCCTTGGGTTTTGCAGCCAGAGGGAGATTTATTTATTTTATTTATTTATTTTTTTTTGAGACAGAGTCTCACTGTGTTGCCCGGGCTAGAGTGCTGTGGCGTCAGCCTAGCTCACAGCAACCTCAAACTCCTGGGCTCAAGCGATCCTCCTGCCTCAGCCTCCCAAGTAGCTGGGACTACAGACATGCACCATCATGCCCAGCTAATTTTTTCTATATATTTTTAGCTGTCCAATTAATTTCTTTCTATTTTTAGTAGAGACGAGGTCTCGCTCTTGCTCAGGCTGGTTTCGAACTCCTGAGCTCAAACAATCCGCCCGCCTCGGCCTCCCAGAGAGCTAGGATTACAGGCGTGAGCCACCGTGCCCGGCCGCTAGACGTTTGTTTCTGTGTTACTTAATGTCAGTTGTCCAAGGTGCCCGGGCTGTGCCCCGAACCAAGTGTACATGAAGAACGCATTCCCTCTCTCCGCCACGTTGAGCTTTCACAACAGCAGGCACAAACGGACGATGTGCACTTCCAGAAATAGGTCAAGTCCCTGTGGCAGGTGTGCTCTTACTTTGGAAGACTCAGGTGG